ATTACACTGCAGTTACACCTAGGAGCCCCAGTCATGGCTCACGATACCACTGCACTTGGTGCTGTACAAACATGGAACAAAAAGCCAGCCCCTTGTCCTTAGGAGCTCACAATACATTAATGGAGAGAGATTCCCACCTTCTGTTTGACACGCTACCTTCCCAGCTCTATTTCACACCTATATTGGCCTTAGTCAGGCAGCTTCTTGGCAGACAATGAGAAAATAATCATTTAGGGTGTGTCTAGACTACAGGGTTTTTTTGAAAGAACTTCACCTGTGTCTAGACTGCAGCCACGTTCTTTCGAAAGTAAATCGAAAGAACGCAGCAGTTTTTTTGATCATGGTAAACCTCATTCTACGAGGAATAACGCCTTTTTTGGAAAGTACTCTTTCGAAAAAAGGCGCCAAGCAAGCATCTAGACTTTCTTTCCAAAAAGCAGCTCGCTTTTTCGAAAAGTCTGCTTGTAGTCTAGACGCTCTCTTTCGAAAGAGGCTTGTAGTCTAGACTAGCCTTAATGTCTGGACAAAGGTCATGCTTAAGGCGAAGTGGCTCTTTTCCTGCCATTCACGTAAAAATATACTGTCTAGGCAGCTGCCAACGCACTGTGTTTATGTTCACTGCACTATGTAAAACCAGGGCAGTCATTGCTAAAGCAGATGTTGAACCACTGTGCTAGCTAAAATGCTAAAAATAAATAAATAAATAAATAAATAAAATGCTAAAATTACATTGGCAGACATTCATCTCTGCAATAGAAATGAATGGTGAAAAATGGTATTCTCAAATGTCATGCAGGTCGGCTTGCCCGGGATCAGCGAGGTATTTATTAATTAAGCTTCTTCTGATTAAGTTAGCCAGCCATCTATAGCATTACCAATACGGTCGCATCATACAGAGGCTGCGTGGACTAGCAAATATGGAGGACTGGCAATTGTTTCAGTGGAGAGAGGCCTGAATCAAAACCTCAGGGCCAATCGATTTTGAGAAAGCCAGAGATAAGCATTGGGGGCGCTGTACATTGTTAAATGTTTGGTAGAACTGGTTAACAATTGTGATTGCAAAGAATTTTCTTGCCAAATACCTAAGATTTAGCTAAAATCCCAAATTTTCAGGAAAAAGATCAATGCAAAAAATTATTATGAAAGGTCTAATTAAAATGTAAAATGTGTTCTTCTTACAATATATACATTTTGTTAGAGGGTTTTATCCCTTCACCCTCCAACTTCTCTGGTCTCTCTCACGTGAACAGAGAACAGCAATACCTGAAGTCCAGAGAGACAAACAATTCAATGTTTATTGGTGATAGCTTTCAGTAAGCAGGAATCCAGTTAACTTTCCTTTTTCCCTTGTTTTTTCCCACCCCCTTCCTGTTTCTCCTTATATATATATATATATATATATATACACATACACGCACACACACCTTAACCAATCATTCTCCTGAAATTTATCTAACCAAATCTAACATATTGTAACATGATTATTTAACCAATTATGTCCACCTTAATTGGATAACAACTAGCAAAATTAATTTCACAGGAGACAAAAACAATAAAAGAGGCAGAGTCATGCACATAAACAATAGAGAGATGAGGAGCACAACAACAACATTCGGATTTCACAGCCCCCATTATTGATCTAGGCTCTTCTGTGTATCTGGCTTCATTTCAATCTGACTGGTTTGGAAGGTCCCACTGCCTAGGCAAAAAGTAGGAGCTTAAGAACGAAGTATCAGACCATCATATACAGATAGACTGTGGTTTTGATTCCTTGTTCTTATTCCTCTGTAATTAGTAAAATGGTAAGAATACACTTGAATTCTTAAAGTACAGGCTTTTACAGGTAGGCATGAATATCAATATCCTAACACATTTTTTTTAACTTCATTAGTTTAGCAGTGACATTCTGAGTAAGTTTTCCAGACCTGAAGAAGAGCTCTGTGAAAACTTAAAAGTTTGTCTCTCTCATCAATAGAAGTTGGTCCAATAAAAGATATGACCTTCCCCATCTTGTCTATCTAACATCCTGGGACCGACGTGGTTACAACAACACTGCATTCGTCCCATAATATCATCTACAGCCCTTCATTTTCACACCTTTTTAAAAATCTCACAAACTGGCCTGGACCTCCTTGCTGTCTGCCAAAAGCTAGGAGCCTCCATAACTCTGCACTACTATCCTGAGGCCACATCTTTACTCCACAGAAGATTGATGCTGCTGCAATCAATCTTCCAGAGTTTGATTTAGCAAGTCTAGTTAAGACTTGCTAAATCAAACTCAGAGGGCCCACCCACCAGTTCTTATGAGGAATGAGGGAAACCCATGGGACTGTTTGCTCCCATCAGCCTCCCACTGTGGGGACGCTGCCCAGTTCAGCTAAAAGAAAGCCGACTGGAGTTACGTATTCTACATAGCTGGAGTTGCATACCTTAAGCCACGCTGCCAGGTCTAGTGTAGGTCTGGTCTAAGTGTTGCAAGCACAAGTCTCCGGTATGTGGAGAGCCATAATCTGGGCAGATTTTTTCAGGTAAAATCATAAACTAGTGAGTCCTTGTATAAAGGAATTTTTTGTTTTAAAAACTATACTGCACTACACGTTGTTTTAGTTACATATTCAAGATGTGGTTATATAAGGCACCTCATGGTGCTGTGGGGGAAAGGGGTGCAGGAAGGGCCACTCAGAGGAACAGGAAGGTGACATGAGGGGCATCCCAGTTAAAAATTTAAATTTTGGCAAGGGTATGGGGGCGGTACACTTCCCACATGGTGCTACAACCAGTCACCTCTCAGACCCAGATTAGATTAATAGATTAATTTAGGGTGGTAAACATAAAGGCTACGTCTACACTATGAGTTCTGTTGGCAAAAATATGCTAACGAGGGACTCATTTGCATGAGTTGTGATCTCATTTGCATATTTGATCAGCAGAAAACATGCAAATGAGATTACGACTCATGCAAATGAGTCCCTTGTTAGCATATTTTTACCAAGAAAACTTGTAGTGTAGATGTAGCCAAAAAGTAAAACTGCAGTGGGTGTTCTACTAATATTGATCATTATAACACTGAACATCAGAGTATACATTTTGGTTCAGTATTGTCTGAAGGAAGTTATACATAGAGCCCCGCAAGTCTGGGGACAGCCGTTTTATATCCATGGGTATCTGCACCCGTGGATGGTGATACCCCTGGCTCACTTTTGCGGCTACAGATGTGGATGTGGATACAAAATGTTGTATTCCCACAGGGCTCTAGTTTTACGTCAACAAAAGTCAACAACATTTGATTATATGAAGTAGACAATACTGCAGAGCTATACACTTGAAGCATTAAGCAATCAGAAGCATACAGAGTTTAAGGCTGCCAGTCCAGGTCTGGTTAGCCATGCAGCACTGCATAGCAGAAGACCAACTCTGATGTAATGGGTGGACCAGGCCTATTCTTAAGTTTGGAACGGATGAATTCAAGTGTGAAAAGCTTTGTTCTATGCTTTTTTTTCCACTGATACAATTATTTTCCCCTCTTTCCCAGTTTAAACATATTTACCAGCACCAATGTTCCCTCCTTTTTCATCCATGTGTGAATTTTCTCCACCCATGTGCAGAATAAAATGTTACATGCACCATGGCCTGTCAGAATGTGCACCACCAGTAGAAACAAACAACCTAGCTGTAGGTTCTCTGCCAATCAGCTGGGTGGCATTGGAATCTCTCCTTAGTGGCTGCACAAAAGCCCAGCTTACAGGGAACACTGACAACACCCTGTTTGACACTAGTTTTTCCAGGGGAAATTGTCAACCCTGCGATAAGACCCAGACCAGCCGGGAACATGGTGATCCCTTGCAGGATGGTGTCTGTGAAGCTGTGGTTGTCCTTAATGTCTGCTGGGGCGGAGATGCTGCCCCAGTGTCACTTAGAATGGGGAAGTGCTATACTAGGGTCTCCATGAACCACAAACGGAGACAAGCCCAAAGTTCACAAGAGTTTGCAACATCTGCATTTGCTGACCGGGAACCTCCATTATGTTCTTGTGCACCTTCTTCTCCTTTGCCTTCTGAAATTCCTGAGCCTTTCTCCTGTCCACTCTTTCTGTGTCTAAGTTGTCTGCAAAGTTAACCCTCTGGGCCCTTTGTCATGAAGCAGGGGCAAGTAGGATCACACTCAATGTTATCCCTAATCCTCTTTCTCCTCCTTTTCTGGCTCAGGGTGTTCCACAGATGTGGAGACACATTTAAGTGTAGACATCAACCAGGTGGTGCAAAGCAGCCTACGTCGTCTGAGCTTTTTAGCACAGACCAGGCCTGAGAGACCAAGAATAAGAAGCCCATCTCCACCCCCCTGGAAATATTTGGACATACTGAGAAAGATCAAATTCAGCTGAGCTGGACGGAGGAGAGTTCTTTATTTCTTAAGAAAATTCCTTAGGCCACTGTATAATTTTTAAATGTGAAACTGATAAGAAAATCTCTTTTTCACACAGTGCATATTCAGACTGTGAAACTCCTTGCTACATGAAATAACTGAAGCCAAGAATTTGGAAAGATTCAAAAAGGGTTGGACATTCATACAAGGATATGCAGAGTTATAATAGTTAATTCTAACAGTTTTTGGAAGGGATATTAAACCAGCTGCTTCAATGCTGAAACCATCTGTATCAGAGATCCTAATGGAGGGGAAAGATTATCCAACCTCTTTCTGATGCTGAGTTCTTACATCTTCCTTTGAAGCGTCTAGTACTGGCCTCTGTCAGTAGCAGACTCATCTCTTACAGTGGGAATGTTCTGGTGCCCTTTTAGCTTTTGTGTAAAGCAATTTAGCAGCTGGAAATAAGGAAAAGGAGTCAAAACTATGTGGCCAGCTAGCTTTCTCCTCAGGTCCCCGTTCCAGAGTCCAGGGCTGTCTATGGTCATTTGAAAGATAATCAGGGAGTCATACAATGAACGTCTCATTTTAATGCAACGTGGTGACGTGTCTCTGAAATGTTCATTTCTCCGCGGCAGGTGATAAAGAATGGTGCTACCTCTCCCAGCAGTGCGATCTCCCCGAGTGTGAAGGTAATGCTAAGCAGTTTCTTTCTGAAATGATTGTAATGGTGGGCTGTTTTATAAAGGGTCTCCTTGTCACACAAAAGGTTGAGATGTCACATGGCCTCTCCATTATATTGAGAGACTATAGCTTGTGCCTCCATTCGATGGCTAAATTCATCACTACAGGTTGCACCTCCCTAAACTGGGACTCTCTGGTCCAGCAATGGAGCCCCAGCAGACTGGAAGTCCACCAGAGAGCTAGAAGTCAGACAGCATACGGGCCAACAGCTGGGAGCCCTGCTGGGATGGGAGCAGGGGGGCTAGGCATGGCTGCAGCCCAGCAACCAGCCAAGCTGAGGCCAGCAGCAGGCAGCCTGGCCAGGGCTGCTAGAAGGGTGACTGGTCAGGGCTGGAAGCGGAGCTGGCAACGGGTTGGGGGGCCAGTGCCAGGGGACTACTCCTGGCTCCAGGAAACCCCCTCACTCTGCTCAGGTCCTAAGGGTGCCAGATCAGGGAGGTCCAGCCTGTATCATAAACAGGTGCTATACAATCTTCCCAACCTTAGAAGCAAATAGATCTGCCAAGGGGCCGTTTGGCCTTATTGGGATGAAGCCATGATCTCCTCAATGAAAGCTGGTTTTTTCTTCCTCGTTAACAGAGCCCCGCCTCTGGGAGACAGTGAATGCTGAGTGTGGCAAAGACAACCAGTCACCCATCAATATTGTCACCAACAAAGTGAAGTACAAAAAGGACCTGAAACGGTTTTCTTTTGAAGGATATGAAAACGCTCAGTCCTCCCCTTGGAACATCAAAAATAATGGGCATACAGGTACGTTATGTCAACATGACTGGGGTTTACTTATTGGCTGGGTTTTATTAGCTCCTTAGTTGCTATCAGAAACATTGTCAGTGTTCTTATGGTGGAGTTAGTTGGCAAGAACTAATTAATTAGCTATTTACTGATTCAGCTTCACTGTTCTTCCAGGTTATCCTTCTATATAGGGTACATCTACACTGCACGGTTATTTCAGGATATTGGAGGTATCCTGAAATAGCTACTCGTCATCTACACAAGCCACTTGTTATTTCAAAATATTTTTTGAAATAACGGGCGTGCTATTTCACCATCCCGGTAAGCCTCATGGCACAAGGGATAAGGGATGGCTCGAAATAGCGCATTATTTTGAAATTTGGTGCTGTGTAGATGCGCCAAATTTCAAAATAGATTTGAAATAAGATACACAATTTGTGTAGTGCAAATTGTGTATCTGATTTCGAGTTTAGGGTGCTGCGTAGACACACCCTATGGGAAGAAATATTACTAAGAATACTCTGTGTCAGTATTGTGTTGGGACAGGTTATTAAGTTTACAAAAACTGTTTGTATTTTTTAAACACTTAGTAGTGGTCCCTCATTATAGACCATATTGGAGTAGTGCTTTCTCCCTCATATTGGACCAAAAAAAAAAAAAAAAATCACCCAACTATTTCCGTGTGGGGTCTTGGAGACCCCCCCAGTATGGCAAAATTGAGAGGAAAAAAATACATGAGAATTGAGATACATTTAAAGCTGGCTTTACTGTAATTAGTGAACTGTACAACAACACACAAGTTAAAACTTGCCAAGATTCAGATACATACTGCACAATACTTGTGTTGAGGTCCAAATGCCCCCATGATCAAACACAGTTTTTAAAAAGCTACACACCATACAGACTCTAACTGATCCCATGTTTCAACAATGCAAAGAGATCGCAGCAGCAGCGATATAAAATGCACAGGTACAACACAATACAGGACTATGTAGCACTTTAAAGACTAACAAGATGGTTTATTAGATGATGAGCTTATTTAGTTTCAGCTAGACCAGACTAACACAGCTACATTTCTATCACAGGTACAACACAGTCGCACTAAGTGGCCTAATGCTTTGAACAAATGAGCAAAAATAGGCAGCATATGATCCTAATGTGCATATTTTTTTACACTTCACGCATTTTTGATTGGTTTTTCTCTCTCGGTCTCTGGATGACATGCAAGATCTTCCCCATTTCTCTGAATCAGTATCCAGCATACTTCATCATAGCTTGAGAATACTTAAAGAAAGAAGATGCTATCAGGTTTTGTACATGTTTGAGGTTTGAAACCCTCCAAAGTTGCAATGGGGGAGGTTTACACACTGCTTGCACCAGTGGCTTCACCATTTCTGCACCCAGGTACCTGAGGCTATGTCTACGCTACAGAGTTTTTTTCAGAAGAACAGCCATTTTTTCCGAAAAAACTTCACTTCGGTCCACACTGCAATTGCGTTCTTCTGCAAGAAAAGCAAAAGAACAGAGAGGCTTTTCCGACACTGGTAAACGTCTTTCTACGAGGAAGAAGCGTTTTTCTGAAAGAGCTCTTTTGGAAAAAGGCATGTGTGGATGGGGAAGAGGGAGTTCTTTTGAAAGAAGAGGAAAGAGGAAAAAGCACAGGTGCTCTGGTGGCTACTCAGTCTACAGCAATCTCAAGTTACATGCAAGATAGTGTCCATTCAGTGTGGATGCTATCTTTCGAAAAAGCGGATTGCTTTTTCGATGCGCTTTGGCAGTGTGAATGTCTCTTTCGGAAGACTTTTTTTTGGAAGATCTCTTCCGGAAAAGCTTCTTCCAAAAGAAGCCTGCAGTCTAGACGTAGCCTCAGAAACATCCATCTCTGACTCAAAGGTTTATTGCACAATTCAACCACACCCAAACCATATAACACACATGTGCAATGCAACAGTGCATCTTTTGTCCCAGCAATAGCATTTATCAAGTGTGGGCTTGCTAGAAAGTGTATGTGATCATTGTGATGAAACTTGAGGCAAATGTTAGGTGGGGTCCCTCAGACCCTTTAGGTGCATTATTTTAAAAAGCACACACACAAAAACTGTGATAAAAACAATGCTGAAAGTTTCATATAATCCTATAAAAATGGGTGCCTCAAAATAAAAATGATTTGCTGCTGGAATACCTGTGTAAATTAATTTGGGGTCCCAATGCCTTTGAAGTGACTGGTTTTGCTCTGCTAAACCCATCACCGGTATGAAGACAAATCCAATACCAGTGTTAACAGGTTGTCCTCATCATAGCTTGAGAATACTCAAAGAAAGAAGATGCAATTCATCAGCTATCAGGTTTTGTACAGGTTTGAGACCCTCCAAAGTTGCATTGGGGGAGGTCTAGGTTTTATATTAGGAAAAACTATTTCACTAAGAGGGCGATGAAGCACTGGAATGGGTTACTTAGGGAAGTGCTAGAATCTCCATCCCTAGAGGTTTCTAAATCCCGGCTTGACAAAGCCCTGGCTGGGATGAATGAGTTGGGGTTGATCCTGCTTTGGGCAGAGGGCTGGACTCAATGACCTCTGAAGGTCTCTTTCAGCCCTAGGATTCTATGATTCTAAGATTATTTTTTCCAGTGGGGAATGCCGGGGGGTCTAACTGACCCCCGTTACTTTTTCACCCCGTAACAGGTAGGATGATAAAACCAATGCAAAACGATTGACCGTATCCCACTCTGACAATACTTAAGGGCTACGTCTAGATTGCAACCCTTTTTCATAAAAGGGATGCAAATTAGACGTATCGCAATTGCTAATGAAGCGGGGATTTAAATCTCCCCCGCTTCATTAGCATAAAAATGGCTGCCACTTTTCTTCGGACCCCGTAACAGGTAGGATGATAAAACCAATGCAAAACGATTGACCGTATCCCACTCTGACAATACTTAAGGGCTACGTCTAGATTGCAACCCTTTTTCATAAAAGGGATGCAAATTAGACGTATCGCAATTGCTAATGAAGCGGGGATTTAAATCTCCCCCGCTTCATTAGCATAAAAATGGCTGCCACTTTTCTTCGGCACAGAGCTTTTCCTGAAAAAAGCGCCATTCTAGACACGGATCTTCCGGAAAATAAAGCCTTTTCTGAAAGATCCCTTATCCCTCTTAAAATAAGGGATCTTTCGGAAAATGCTTTATTTTCCGAAAGATCCACGTCTAGACTGGTGCTTTTTTCCGGCAAAGCTCCATGCCGAAAAAAAGCGGCAGCCATTTTTATGCTAATGAAGCGGGGGAGATTTAAATCCCCGCTTCATTAGCAATTGCGATACGTCTAATTTGCATCCCTTTTACGAAAAAGGGATGCAATTTAGACGTAGCCAAGGTGTGAAGAGGTACAGAACTGGCGTGAAAAGAACATAAGAACATAACTTAGAACATAACTTAATACAAAACTTGGATTTATATTTTTGTGCAAACATTTTGGTCAGAGAAACCCCCAAACAAAAAGTTTAAAAAGCTGGGCTGTTGTTAAAATAACCAGATCCTTAATCTGAATGGCCTCATAGCAAAGTGCTCCTTTAGGGAGAGATGAAATTTTGAAAGCACGTTAGAGACAGATTAGGGAATGAGATTTTTGTTTTGAAATTCAATGCTTAGGCATATTGTTTTTTCTTTCCAACTTCTGATTTTCCGCTCATGTGGAGAAAGTTAATAGCCTTTTTGGAAGGCTATGATATTGTGGAATCAAAGTACAGCTGATGTGCAAAGAAGTATCTTGGTATACAAAAACACATGATCATAGAAACAGTTTAGAACTCGCATTTCGCCTGACAGGCAAAAGGGGTTTTGAGGGGAGATGGGAGTAAAGCTCTGAATGGTGCCGTGAGAATAAGATTAGACTGACTTATTATTTTTATATTTCAAGAGCACCTAAATGCTGCAACTGAGATTGGAGCTTCACTGAGCCAAGTGTCTTTTCACACAAACACATCGTGAGAGACACTGTCCAAAAGACCTTAAAGTCTTGGAGGGTTAACTCTTTAGGTTTAGGCCCAGGGGGCTCAGGGCTGGGGCAGGGACTTGGGATGCAGGAGGGGGTTTATGACTGGGGCAAGGGTTTGGGATGTTGGCTCCATCTGGACACTGCTTATCTCAGGTGTCTCCTGGGTGGTGGTGCAGTGGGGCTAAGGCAGGTTCACTCCCGCCCTGGCCTTGCACCCCTCTCAACAACAGCCAGCAAACTCCCTCCCAAGTCCTGCTGGGCCCCCTCTGGAGAAAGGATACAGACTGGGAGGGGGCACATTGACATCAGCGCCCCTCCTCTGCCCTACACAGCAAGCGGGAGGCTCCGGGGGAGGGGGAGGAGGTAGCGCCAAGGCAAAAGGCAGGAGAGGTGCAGTAGTGGGGGGAGGGGCAGCTGAAGTGGCATCGCTTGGTAGCCTCTTGGCCAGTCAGGATCACCTGTCAGAGGCTCCAAGATCTACCAGTAGATTCCGATCGACTGAGCTAAACTCTTGTTTTCTTTTTAACTCCTTGTTTCTACCAGTTAAAGTCTCTCTGGATGGCTCAGCAAAGATTAGCAATGGAGGTCTTTTCAATCAATACAAGGCTATCGAGTTTCACTTCCACTGGGGCAATAAGCTAGGCAGTAGACCCAGCCCTGGGTCGGAGCACAGCATAGATGGAGAGAGATACGATATGGAGGTAGGTGACATTCTCTCTCTGCTAATGCAGAACTCTGGCTTCTGAACGTAGTGTTGAATGAAATAAACCAACCGATACTTCCGCAAGACTCCAGGAGGGGAATTAAAACACTGAGAACGTGTTGCTTGCTGAGCACCCTGTGTAGAACCTAGAGGAAAAACTAACAGGGTCTGGACTTTTTGCATGGCTAACGCAAGGGAGGAAAGGCTGTAAACCCCAGCACTATTTGTAGCAATGCAGGCTATTAAGCTGCATCTCACAGTCTCACACTAGCTTATTCAGACACTTCGGTTGTGACTGTGCAGTGATACGTACAAATTCCTCAAAGAGCAGAAAGGCCAAATCCTACTCCCCATAGACAAACCAGGTGAGCTTAATGCAGGCGGTTTCCAAGTACCTAAAAGGGTGTTACAAGGAGTGGGGAGAAAAATGGTTCTCCTTGACCTCTGAGGTTAGGACAAGAAGCAATGGGCTTAAAGTGCGGCAAGGGAGGTTTAGGTTGGACATTAGGAAAAACTTCCTGTCAGAGTGGTTAAACACTGGAATAAATTGCCTACTGGAGTTGTAGAATCTCCATCTCTGGAGATATTTAAGAGCAGGTTAGATAAACACCTGTCAGGGATGATTTAGATCAGTGGTTCTCAACGTATCAGGGGCGGCCCGTGACTATAGGCCGAATTGGCCATCACCTAGGGCGCCACCTTCAACGGCGCCCGATGATGACGTCACTCTATTGCTGGCTGTGCAGGTGGGGGCGCCGATCGCGCACTCCGTCTGGGGCGCCAGCTGCTGCAGCCCGCCTCAGGCTGCTCCTGAAAGTATCCCTTTAAAAAAATTATTAGTTCCCCCGGTACCTACAGTTTTCAGACACACAATTTTTTTCTACTATTGCAACACGTTTGTTTAAACAACTTAACTGTAGCCGGGCGGACGATGACATTTTTGGGTGTAAAAAGTACAAACAAAAATTCAGTTTTCTCCAAATGTCAGTTGTGTTGACGTACCCCCCCCAGACTTCTCTTGAGTACCCCTAAGGGTACTCGTACCACTGGTGGAGAAACACGGATTTAGATGGTGCTTGACCCTGCCATGAGGGCAGGTGACTGGACTTGATGACCTCTTGGGGTCCCTTCCAGTTCTCGTGTTCTATGAGTCTATAAGGGAGTTGATGGGAGGAATCAGCCTCCATCTCAGGTCATGGAGTAACCGTGGAACCATTGCATATTCAAGGTGACAGTAGACAACAAGGCGCGCGCATGCTGGTGGGTGGGGAGGCCTGCTTTTGGATGCGTATCTTTGCACCTTCACCAGCCCCATATCTTCCACTGTGCCTCCTGCTAGCTGTGGGCAGGAAGTGGCTTTGCCCAACCTCCCCTGTAGAACAGCTCTGGTTTCTCCAAACCCAGGGCATAGTGAAGGGGTGAGGATGTGCCGATGATAAACGGCTATAAAGAAAAGGGAGCAATAATTGACCTTTAATGCCTATATTCCAGCTACACATAGTCCACAAGAAAGAGAGTTTCTCAAGCGCAAAGGATGCATCGAATGATAAAGAACAGCTGGCCGTGCTGGCCTTCTTTATAAAGGTGAGCTGCCATGTTTCTTTTTTAATTGCCCACCTCAAACTAACCCCTACCAGAGCGTGGTCCAAGTTGCAGGATTTGGCCAGGACCCACCCGCACCCCACCCCTCTCCAGTGTTTGCAGGGGTCCAGATTCATCGGGCCCCACCTGTAGTGCTTAGCATGGATCTGCCCTACAAACAGAGCGGGTATGACTGCCGCACCTGCAGACACACCTGAGCTAGCTTGAATAACAACATTGATGCCACAAGCAGCATAGGACACACCAGCACACCCAGGACCCTGGCGGTTTCTTCACACACCAAGCCCCTTCACTGCTATGGTTGTCTGAGCTGGCTAGATAAAAGCTAACTTCGGTGCATCTACACTCATTGCAGTCACACCTCCTAGGCCAGGTCTACACTAAAGAGGAAGGTCAAATTAAGATAAGCAACTCAAACTATGTTAATTACATAGCTGGGGTTGACTTACCTTAAATTTGAATTTCCTCGCCATCCCCACAGTGGGAGGTGACAGGAGCAAACGCTCCCATTAGCTTTCCTTAATAACTCACAGGAGGAGGAGTACTGGCCACCCCTGGGGACACTCTCTGAGTTCGATTTAGTGGGCCTTTATTAGACCTGTTAAATCAAGCTCCGGAAGATTGATCACAGCAGCGACGATCTTCCCCCAAGTGAAGACATGGACTGACTGTCGAGTAGACTTGCCCACAGGGACCTTATTCCGTTCAGCTAATTGATTTTTGTTTCACTTTCTTTCCCACTTCTTATTTAATAATTCAGGAGCACGTATCTGAGGAAATCCATGCATTTTTCTAACATAAAGTATAACATAAGAACATAAGAATGACCGTACTGGGTCAGACCAAAGGTCCTTCTAGCCCAGTATCCTGTCTGCTGACAGTGGCCAGCACCAGGTGCCCCAGAGAGGGTGGACCGAAGACAATGATCAAGCGATTTGTCTCCTGCCATTGCTCTCCAGCCTCTGACAGACAGAGGCCAAGGACACCATTTTATCCCCTGGATAATAGCCTTTTATGGACCTAACCTCCATGAAATTATCTAGCTTCCCTTTTGTTTCAGATCGGTGCAGAAAATGAAAAGTATGCACCTCTCATAGAGAAGTTGAATGACGTTCCTACCAAAGGTAAAGAGCTTGGATGTACCCACAGCAATCTGAATTTATTTAAAGAGATAATCATTACATCTAGGAGTTATAAAGTGACCTGTCCCTGTTCCCTTTGTACTCCAGTGAGATCTGACCTTGAATTCTCGAACAAGAGCATCAAGCCTAAAGACTGGTCTATGCAACAGAGCTATGTCTACATAACCCAGTATAACTGTTACCCAGGGATGTGAAAAATCTACAACCTAACCCTCTGTATCAGAGGTGCTATGTCGGCAGGAGAGCTTCTCCCGTCATTCTAGTTATGCTGACAGGACAGCTCTTTCCTATCGGTACAGAGCATCTTGAGGAAAGCCCTACAGAGGTGCAAATGCACAGAGACAGCATTTTAAGTGTAGACTTGCCCTCCATTGGTGTGAAATGATTTTAAGCAAGGACACTGGGTGAGAAAAGTAGGGATGTAAACGTGTCACTGGTTAACCGATAAGCTTGATGCTTGTCCATTTCTGTGAACGGTTAAACGCTGCCTGGGGTCCCAGCTGCCGGGATCCCTGGACACGGGGACTCCCGGGCATAGAGTCATTGCAGAGGGGAGCCACATAATCCGTGGTGGTCCTGTAGCTTCCGTCTGCAGCTCTAGTTCCCCAGTTAACCGTGTAACCAATCGCACTTTAATCCGTTGCACCGTTATTGTTTTACACGTTATTTCCATCCCTAGTGGAAGGCTCACGCAAAGTATCCACCCCCTATCCGTGCTGTAGAGCTGTATTCTGCAGGGCCTCTTGCCGAATACAGGGCAGGCACGGTGGTTTGGGGGCTATGCCCATCCACAGGCAAGCTGACAGATTCACCAGGCCCCTGGGCAAGGCGGGGTGGTAGTGGCGCCGCAATCCCGGAAGGGGCAGGGCCATAGGTGGAAGGGGTGGGGTTGACCGGCCAACTCTTGGTGCCACCCAGACAACGTCCCTCCCCTACCTCGCCTCTCTGTGCTCTCTCACACAGATTCCCATGTAGGATTGTCCCCTTCTCCATGATCTTCTGCCAATCTTAAGAGAGCTCAAATCAGTGTCAGAGTCTCAGTGGCCGGGAGCCCTGGGGCAGTGGCCCCCTGGCCTGCCCCCTGTCGGGAAGCCTGCCCAGCCAGTAGCCCCCGCATCTTCCAGAGCCAGACTCTGAGGATGGCACCACTGTTGGTAGCAGCAGCCAGAATCCAAGGGAGCTGTAAACACCGAACTGCTAAGCATGCCCACTCCCACTGACGTTTCTCCATTGTTTTCCTAGGCAATGAAAAGACGATGGCTGCTTTGCCCCTGGAATCGCTCATCCCGCCGGAAAAGAATCTCACCGGCTATTATCGGTACAGCGGCTCCCTGACCACGCCCGGATGCAATGAGACGGTCATCTGGACGATATTTAAGGAGCCAATCGCACTGAGTGAAAATCAGGTAATTCAGAGAGTTGTGGGCGAGGTCGTCCTTAGGATTTACAGGGCCTTGTGCCGTCCTATGAAACTGGTTCTCCTAGGTCTGATGACAGCCCCTGGGCAGGGGCGGGGAGGGAGGGAGGCATATGACAATAGTGTAGAGCTGTGATTTTATAATCTTCAGTCGTGCACTAATGGAATAGTTTTCAAGCAAATTTTAAACTAAAGTCCTGTCGTCTAACTCTCAATTTAGAAACTGACAGGATAGACCTGGGTTGGCAAAGGCCTGTTAAATGGCTTCATTACCGCCTGAATGGCTCTTTCACGGGTTCAGTGTCTGCCAATAGGTCTGGCAGGCTTTTCCACTTTTGAGTTAACTATAGATCCTTCCCGGAGGAAGCAGAGTCACAGAGCAGGGATAGGAAGAGGCAGGAGGGTGGACATTAAGACCCAGCGGTGTTTCAAATTTCCGGGTGCCCTACGCAGCTGCATATTCTGTGTCTGGATAAGAACATTGATTGTAGGCTGAACAGGGCAGCTAGGTCGTTTTGTCTAGCTCACTCAAACTCCCCTCCTCATCCTCTTCTTCCCTCTCCAATATGCTCTCTTGCCCAGAGTCCAATGTAGGATCGTCTCCTTCTCCATTACTTCTGCAGTCCCCAGAGAGCCCAAATCAATAGCAGCATAATGTATCCCGGCTTGTTTGCTATCTGTCACATCACCTGTTTTGGTGGAGGGAAAAAAAACACCTCCGCATCTTTCCCCATTCCAAAAAGAGGGATGTGTGTTTCAGGACAGTTCTCAAGGGAAGATAAATATCACTGCCATTAGAAAGATGAGGCAACAAAAGCACATAGTAATTAGGTAACTTGCCAAAGGCCATGAAGTAAGGCAGTGTCAGAGGTTGGAACAGACTTCAGATCAGTGCTAGTTCAGTGTGCTCTATCCACTGCAATAATGAATATGCAAATAAAATGTACCCCGGCCCCCCGCCGCAGAGCCATCACTGGCATCAGCTGCAGCAGTTCCCCACCACATGGCAGCTACAGGAGCTGAAGCCAGCTTCTGTGCTGCAGCTCTGGGGACTGGGGCTGGAGTACATATTTTAGCAGACTGGTAACATTGTATTTGCATATTTTCACATTCAGTATTTGCATCATGAATGTGTAAATATGCAAATCAAATGTTGCCAGTCCATGGAAAGTTTGTGAATGGGTTTACTAGTCCATGATATAAGAAAAGTTGGGAACCGCTGCTCTAGAGAAGAACCAGAGATGGGGAGGCATGTAATCTTGATTCCTGCATGCTGTGCCACAGGGATATGAGGGAGGGAAGCAGGGGCTGAACGTAGAGAAAAGACCTGTCTTGCCAGGGTGGCTTGCACTAGACAGGACCAGGCTGCTTAGCCCAGAGGAAATTTAAGGAGTCTTCCTGGGCTAGAAGGAAGCATCTGTCAATAATCTGGGGGACAAGTTTTGGTTCCATTTAAACTAGAATAGACGTATGGTTCAGAGCCACACCGCAGTGCAAACTATAGCCTGGAAAGAGGACACTTCCCTTTTCTTCCTCACCCAAAAAAAGAATAATTGCCTTTTTTTTTATGGCGGTTTGCAGATGGAGAACTTCTGGAAGAAGCTTTACTTCACTGAGGATAAAACATTACTCATGACCGACAATTTCCGACCTGTTCAGCCTCTCAATGACAGAGTCGTGTACCACTCCGATGGCAGCATCCTACTGTCTCCTGCAAATGCTTTATTGGTGGCGCCAACACTTATCTACCTCATGAGTCTTCTTTTCCAATGAACACTGGTCATCCATTATCAGGTTTCGGCGGTGGAGGGACTGTTAATTTTTTGTTTCAAGCACTTCTCTGCAGTTCAGAAGCTCTGGGCTGCAGCTCATTGTACAATATAGCCTTGGTGTTTTTCCTAACGCTTATCATATAGAGATAAAGAAATAATTTCAGGGAACCTCCCTCGAGGCTCATGATAAATATAATACAAAGCTATAGAGAAGTCTTTTTAAATCCTTTAAGACTTTTCTTTTGAAAGCAATAAAATGTGTTAATTGCAACCCTATAATTTTAAATCAACACAGCAAGTGTGCTTAATAGAGCCATTCAGAGGACTTATAGGAATCAGAGTGCCAAAGTGAGACTGAATGCAATATAGTTCAATGCTGCATCACAAATCAAGGACATGAAACATTTTCGGTGACACAGTGGATGCTGTGTCCTCCAACACCGATGCCTCACACAACCTGTTAAAAGGGCTCATCCTATGTATTGCAGGATACATATCAGGCTTCAGCCAGAAAAATACGTTTTCTTGCTTCTCCCAACTTAAGCTGAATTTTTAATGAAGGGTTTGTTTATTTTTTAAATCTACTGCTATTGGGTTTTAGGAACATAGGAGTCCCATACCAGGTCTGACTGTTAGTCCAGTCTAGTCCTGCAGCCTGCCTTTAGCAGTATCCAGTACTGGATGCGACAGAGGAAAAGGAAAGCACCACCCAAAACAGATAGCTTCAGCCACTTGGAAAATTCCATCCCGAATCCCATTGGAAGGTTAAATGTGAAGCATGAGATTTGATGATCCTTTCACTAAAGGATCCCCTTGAATAATAAAATCTCCCCTTGAATAATAAAATCCTAGAACGGCTCAGGGAACTTTGTGGAATTTTTTGTTGAATTTTTTTTCAGGGTTTCATCAAACCCCTCAATTTTTTTGGTCTAGAATTGGTATTTTGCACACATTTCTATTTTGTTGAAAAAAATGTTCCATTCTGATGAAAACATTTTGATCAGCTCTATAAAATGCTCCTACACCTGTGGGGTAGGTTACAAACCCCATGGCTGTGTCTAGACTGGCAAGTTTTTCCGCAAAATCATCTGATTTTGTGGAAAAACTTGCCAGCTGTTTACACTGGCCGCTTGAATTTCCGCAAGAACACTGACGATCTCATGTAAGATCGTCAGTGTTCTTTCGGAAATACTGTGCTTCTCCCGTTCGGGCAAAAGCCCTCTTGCACAAATCATTTGTGCAAGAGGGCCAGTGTAAATAGCACAGTACTGTTTTGCGCAAAAAAGCCCTGATCGCTAAAACGGCGATCGGGGCTTTTTTGCGCAAAACCGCGTCTAAATTGGCCACGGACGCTTTTCCGCCAAAAGTGGTTTTTCGGAAAAACATCTGCCAATCTAGATGTGCTTTTCCGAAAATGCTTTTAACGGAAAACTTTTCCGTTAAAAGCATTTTCGGAAAATCATGCCAGTGTAGATGTAGCCCCATATATATATAAAGGGGGTTGTTCTGTGGTTTGTGTTGATTTCTTTGGTGCTTTTTCAATCATACACTGGAAACCCCAGTATACAGTGAAGATGGTTTCCCCTGTTACCACCTGAGCATGCAGAGATGCAGTGTCTCCGATTAAACCAGTTGGTTTAACCCTTTGAGTCAAGATAATATAACATGTTGCAGCCCCTTGGTGAATTTTAAATCTTGGCTATCTCAAAACGGGATTTATACTGGGAGTGCAAAGTTATGCCTTTTTCTTTATGGCGGTGTTTGTGTACGACATCTGGGTCGTCACTCGGTGAGGGTGAATGGCAGGGTGGGGAATTATTTTCTTCTCTACTGTATCTATTTAATAGTTGATTATGAAGAGTTAAACCCCACAATGGAAAAGCAGGCATGATATTTATACATTTAGGAGACTATCCAAAACTGTAATTGTATTTTTCTATTATTTAAGAGATTTTGAGAACTGAATGTAAATAAAAACTTGTGGTTGAAAGGCAATGTCTGAATCTTTCACTGCCTTGGAATTTCTCTCTTTCTGGCCTCCCTGGAGGGGGTTCACACAGCAAGTGCTAAGAAGAGAAAAATGTTTTTCCCATCTCTTCTAGACAGCTAAGGCTGTACTTCTGGAGGTGTTCCCCATTCTGTTTGTGCATTATTGTCAATGGTCCCTGAGGTCTTTCAGAGGCTCCTTTCTTCACACTGGCCTCTGAGATACAAATTGAACCTCTCTAGTCCAGCACCCTTGGGACCTGACTGGTGCTGAACCAGAGAATGTGCCAAACTATGGCAGGTCAATATTGTCGAGCAGCATTACCAGCACTTCCACCCCTTACTGTGGTCTTAGAAGACATTTAGGGGCTAAATCACAGCACAGAACACTGAGAGCTAGGACTGGTGGCTGTAAACAAACTTTATGGAACTGCAGCCATACCTATGATAAGTGGACATCGGGCTAAGTAAAATCATTCTGGACCATGGATGTTGCGGACCAGAGAACACCAGACTAAAGAGGTTCAACCTGTACTAATGTCACACTTGACCTATGCAGACAATAGGGCCTGATTTTCCACGGTGCTGTGTGCCCTTCCACTCCTGTTGAAATATGGGGGGAGCACTCTGATTTCTTTGGGTAAAGTGGAACCATAGGGTCGCCCAGTACATCTTCCCATCCACATGCCCACATGGCTATTCAGTGGGATGCTAGCTAAGCATCCAGCCGCTCCTTAAACATCTCTGTACTACCAGCTTCCACCTCTTCCATCTGTTTCCCCAAACCAGGAAGACAATTGAGACGCTTTGGAGCAAAGAGGGTTTTTGTGGCTGTTTTAATGGGTAGCATACTAAAGTTATTTGACCGCCTCACGTTTTGCTATCCCATCCCCATAAAGGTTTCTAGGCAACAACATGCACCAGCTGTGGCCAACCCGAGGCTCTTCCCCCCATGGCTTGTAAGCTGCTCCCACGTCCCCAAAAACTGCCCTCTGCTCCTGGCTTCCTGTGCTGACCTGGGCAAATCACTTCACTTCTCTGTTCCTTGGTTTACCCAGCTGGAAAACGCATGTACTCTTTCAGCGCTTCAAAGAAATCGTGGTAATGAATTAGTTGTAAGCAAAGCACTGAGTTTCTCATGCTAATGGACAAAGTACTATTCATTCACTGTGTTAATTGCACAATAGCCGCAAACAGGTGGAAAGCAAATAAGCAACACTTATTTGCTCCCAAATATTTTAACTGCTGGACAGCAGGAAGGGAAAAATAACTGCGGGGAAAGTCATTTGGTTGAGCGCTATACAAACTAGTCTTTCCTGTTCTATATATGCCTCAGTGTGGAAGACTTCAAGTTTTATTCTAGGGCTATTTTCTTATTCTCTAAGGCTGTGTCTACACTGGCCAGATATTCCGGAAAATCAGCCGCTTTTCTGGAATAACTTGCCAGCTGTCTACACTGGCCGCTTGAATTTCTGGAAAAGCACTGACGATCTAATGTAAAATCATTAGTGCTTTTCCGGAAAAACTATGCTGCTCCCATTCGGGCAAAAGTCTTTTTCCGGAAAACTGTTCCGGAAAAGGGCCAGTGTAGACAGCAGAGATTCACGAAAATGACGATCGGGGCTTTTTTGCGGAAAAGTGCGTCTAGATTGGCACGGACGCTTTTCCGCAAAAAGTGCTTTTCCGGAAAAGCATCCTGCCAATCTAGACGTGCTTTTTACGAAAATACTTTTAACGGAAAACTTTTCCGTTAAAAGCATTTCTGGAAAATCATGCCAGTGTAGACGTAGCCTAAGGGTGAGATTTACCCCAGTGCAGAGGATCTGCATCAATCCCCTTATCTAAACTGCAGTTCTGCTCTGAGAAGCAAAGCCCCAGTCCTGCAAGGAACTCTGTGTCAGATCAGAAGATCTTTGCAGGATAGGCACCATAGAACATTGTGGGGGTCCTTCTGAAGTAGGTCAGACCATCTGCACTCAGTTTACATCTTAAATAACTGTCAGCCCACCATATGCTGAAATTCATACTGGCTTCTTTCTAGCTCACACATCCCCAACAGTTATGGTAAATGTTGGTGAAGTGTATATTAGTAATGGTTATCTAATTGGAATTTCATTAACAATATTGTTCAAGTTGCTTAAGACAGAATAAAATCCAGATCCCTCTTGTAGGGGCGTGTTGGTGGTGACATGATAAGAGGATTAAACAAAAGTCATAAGACTATATTGTCATAAACAGCGTAAGCAGATGCAATTCTGCACCTACACAATGAACCAGCCTATTGGATGCGAAGGTCCAGTGTTTGCAATCACAGCAGAGAGCAAAACTGAGGCCTGTTCTACGCTGCCGGAGAAAGTCGACTTAAGATACACAACTCTAATAACAAGAGCAGCTGAGCTAGAATCGACGTACTTTAAGTCGACTTTCTGCAGAGTTCCCACTGTGGGAGGTTGATGGGAAAACCTTTTCCATTATCTTCCCCTTCTCCTCATGACTCTGTACAGTAGTGGGGTCAACGGAAGCATCACCAGTAGTTGATTTAGTGGGTCCTTACTAGACCCACTAAATCAAACCATGGAAGATCAATCTCCAGATAAGTGTAGACCTGCCCTTAAGGAGGGGCTTACATGGATCTAAGAGACTTCTGTGTTCTTTATGCACAAGGGTGTATTTCTCCCAAAGTGCCTACACTTCAACTTATGGAAAGAATAATTTTTCAATAGTTTGCAGCATCAGCAATGTACTGAATCAGCAAATCTCTGGTCAGTGCAAACTCAGGAATGTTCTGTTCCCTTCCAACTGAGGAGTTTGCTCTCCTGTCACAGCTGCAGTGCACGTTATTCTTGTTTCAGAAAAAAAATAACGCTCAAGCATTCCATTCCCACTTATACAATACACCGATCACAGGAACCTATGTCCATGAAGCTCAATATTGAAAACTCATCTATTGCAACAAATTAAATTAATTCAACATGTTATTAAAAAAAATCTCCCTAATAAACAAAACACAAGACCCCTTCATTATTCTGCCTGCCCCAAAGGTTCACACTGGACTTCATTGAGTCTTCTATTTTTCTTGTTTAAAGGAATCACCCTTAGGCCATATGCAAACTATATACATATTGAATTAATGATGGATCAAAACTCAGCCCTCCTCCCATTCATTTGAAACCTGAATGTTTCTCAACATTTTGAGTGGGGGTGAGCCAGATTTGACACATTAATTTGGGCCCTCTTTATTTTAATTTCTAATACAGTTACACTTAATAACTGACTGGCTAAATGCAGTCCGTTCTTCCATGGAAATGACAGTGTCAACAACGCTAAATGCCTTTCTGCTTTTAATCAGGTCACTGCAGTCCAGGAAGCTGAGAGAGACAAGAAATGACAGATTAATACTCAGAAGGCATAAATTAGCATTGCTCACCAAGGATTAGCTGCAAGACACTGGAAAGAAACAGGTTGTCCATGCTGCTGCATTGGTTACTTCTGTATAGATATCACTGGACCTTTGAAGAAAAGTTCAAGTATACAAAAGATTGTCATGTGAAAATTTGAAGATGCTTTTTTTTCCATTCCAGATCTGGCCTTTAGGGGTAAGAACATAAGACTGGCCATAGTGGGTCAGAACAAAGGACTATCTAAGCCAGTATCCTGTCTTCTGACAGTGGCCAATGCCAGATGCCCCAGAGGGAATGAACAGAACAAGGAGTCATCAAGTGATCCCTCTCCTGTCACCCATTCCAAGCCTCTGACAAACAGAGGCCTGGGACACCATTCCTACCCATCCAGGCTAAGCAGCATTGATGGCCCTGTCCTCCATGAATTTATCTAGGTGTTGTTTTGAACCCCATTGAAGTCCTGGTTTTCACAACTTCCTCTGGCAAAGAGTTCCACAGGTTGCATGAAAAAAATACGTCCTTTTGTTTGTTTTAAATCTGCTACCTATTCATTTCATTTGGTGACACCTCGTTCTTGTGTTATGGGAACACAAGGCTGTAGCTCTAGCCTTGGGGAAGCTGGTGTTGGCTGCCTGGCTGTTCCCGGGGCGAGTTGCATGGCAGGAAGATTGTTCCATGTGCCAAAGCTGGGGCCAACAAGGCCCCAGTTGGGCAGCGTCCTCTCCCTG